ACAGATCACCCGTGATTCTGCCTTTCCGGAATAGTCACATTCATTGGGTGCCTGCCGTGTCCCCACCTAGGCTAAGTGCACACCTTACTTTATCCCCTGCCATCCTCACAACACCCTGTGAGCGGGCATTATCTGATGAGCACATTGAGAGGCACAGAGAGACTCAGCCAGCAGCCTGAGCGTGCTCAGCTAGGAAGAGACGGCCTTGAGACTTGAGCACAAGTCCTCCGGACTCCTGAGCTATGCCCTTGACCTCTGTCCCTATCACACACCTTCAGCAGCATTTTGTACCGGGGTTGTCAAAATGATCCACGATGCGCTCTTGCAAGATGCAACCTGGCCAGGGTCCAGGCCGCGGCCCACTCTGAGTTTCCCAAGGGGACAGTCGGTTGCTGGGGCGCTCCTCTGGCTACAGCTTGGTCTAGAGGCCGAGGACTGTCGGTTGCTGGGGTGCTCCTCTGGCTACAACTTGGTCGAGAGGCCGAGGGCTGTCTCCACCCCCACCCCCTTAGTACAATCACAGCCTCAGGGCCGCAGCGGTGGTTCCACGTCCACAGAGCAGCTTTCCTGGGGTCACGGACAGTGCAGGGGTGGGGTGTCCTATGCACCTCTCAGCCTTCGGTGAACTACTCGTTGTCTCCAGCCATGGCCTCTTCCAGAGAATCGCGTGCCTGCCTTTCCCTGTTGCTGCAGTATCGACCCGAGCCCCCTTCCCAAGCATCGGAAGCTCTCCGGTTCCCACCACGCGGACACAGGCAGGCTGTGCGGTGCCGTGGCCCAAGCCTTGGGCAGTGGGGCAGAGCCAGCCCTGCCACTCGTGCCTGGGGGACCTCGCTCCAGCTCCTGGCCCGTGCCAGGGCTCAGTTTCCCATCTAGAAAAGGGAAGTCCATGTGGATGCTCATCGCCTTTTCTCATAGCCCTTGGGCTGGCAAAGTTCTTCCATGCAGAGCATGCGCAGCAGTGACTCAAAATGCCATCCTAAATATTTAAGTGCGCCAGCAACAGATGCTGAGCTCACCACATCATCCCCGGCAAGACCTAGAAGCCAGAGGGCAGGGCTGAAGCTGCCACTCTTTCTCTCTAGATCCCACAATCAAGTGTTCCGGAAGCTGGACTTCTGCGTGATCCCTGGCTTGTCACCCTCATTATCATCACACAGCTCTTAAGGGTAAAGGCAGGAACAAGTGGAAGCCCTTTCCAGAGGCCGCTGCAGCTGCAAGTCATGGAGCGGTCTCTCTCCTCACCTTTTCCCTTTCTCACAGCCTTTAAATGGCTGTGCTTGTTAGCTAGCAATGGCTCCCCCTTCACTTCACACCATCAAGCCAAGTCAAATCCATGAAACTTAGAGTCCGTGCTCCCAGGAGACACTAAACAGGGTAGCAGGCGCCCTAGAGAGCCCTGGGTGGTCATTCTAACTGCCCCCACTCGGCCTCCCAGGCCCGGTGGAAGAACCCGGCAGGCACAGAAACCTCGGAAGACCCAGGGCCTGCCTTCTGGCTCTTACACAGAGCGTGAGCAAAGTTCTGGGAGGCAATGCTGGAGCTGGAGCTGGAGCTGGAAGGTCTTGATCCCAAGGCTGTGGTCTGCCCTGGAAGGTGTCATCAGGATTTGGTGAGGGCGTGGATATGGGGCAGGAGAGGGGGGAGCCGTGCAGCATGGCGGGCCGGAGGAAGGGGATGGTGGCGCCGCTCCCCCGGGGTGCCCACAGGGCAGGACTGCAGCTGGGGAGTTTGTTTTGGGACATGCTGGGTTAGCTCCAGGGAGCTCACTCCTCTGATGACCTCAGCAGTTGCCCTTATGCCCTTTGACCCTTGCTGCCCTCCTCTCTGTGGCTGTCAGCAGGCAGAAGATCCTGGCCAGTCATTGACTCAGGAAGTGGCCTCTATGGATCCAACTCTCTCCTTGTTTGTTTTCTCCCCGGAAACAACCAATGGTCGAGCTCACTAAAAACATGGGGAGGCAGGAGACACCGGTTCTAGTCCCAGTTCTACCCCTGACGGCCCTGGGGCCAAAACATACCCAGATATCTAACAGGATCACCTGGGTGCAAGGTGGGTTAGTTCCTTGCCCTTATCATTCGATCTTATTGTCCTTTCTCTGATAACCAGTGAAATGTACAAACATCCAAAAGTAAGTGGAAAGTTGGGAGTACAGTCTACATAAATGGGGTTTAAAAAATGCTTTTAGTGGAAGCATCTCAAAGCAGGCAGATCCAAGTGTCACATCATATTTAAAAAGCAGTCCAGAATCATTGGAAGAGATCAGCGAGCAAAGGCACCGCGTTTCCGAGTACAAACACACTTTCCACTGCACCGCAGGGCCGGAGAATTGGAGCGACTCGCTCAATCACTCATTCAGTAAATATCCTCTGGTCATGCGCTCTGTGCTCTCTTCTGGGAAGCTTTGGGGAGGAGCAGGGGGTCGGGGGATCACTGCCGTCAAGGAACTGTGCTCTGGGGGATAGTAAGGTGAGAGAGGACCGTGGAAATCATCTAGGATCTAGTGCAACTCCTTGTCCACACAGAAGGGGAAACTGAGTTCAGCAAGCCTCAGGGGGTTGTCTAGAGATTTTCCAATCCGCTGGAAGCTGTGGAAGGACAGAGAACGGAGCCCCTGCCTCTGCGCTGTGGCTGCTCCTCCTCCGGTGGGTTTGGGGGTGCAACTACTGAGCTGTTTGCATGGGGTGATGTCACCTAGGCCATCGGAACACAGCCACGAGGCTGGCCCTTGCTAATTCCTCAGAAGGTCCATTTTCCAAACACCCATTGGTTCTCCTGTGGCCAAAATCCTCCGTCGTGGCACCCACGCTCCCCAGCCAAGCCCGTACTCCACGTGTCCTTCCTCATTTGGGTCAAACAGACCACAAGCACAGAGAGAGGGCATCCCCAAACACGAAGTGGGGCGTGTTTCCTTAATCCCTTTAGTATCCTGAGTGGCTCCTGGGTCCCAAGGCCCCTGGAGACAGACATATAGTGAGCAGTTGCCCAAACCACCCAAACAGTGACCCAGCGGAGGTGCGAGGAGCGCCGCAGAGGAGATCTGAAGGAGAATGACAAGTGTGGGAGGGGGTGTCAGGGAGACTCCCCAGAGGGGGATGTGACCAGGCCAGAGCAGTGGGGGTGCTTGCAGGTCCTTGAGGCGACTAGAAAGGCTTGGTCTTGACCCTGAGGACACAGGTGGGCGGTGGCGGGGGTGGGCTCTGCACTGAGGGGGAACAGGGTCTGGCTTAGCCAGACTTGCCTGGTGGCTGCTGTGCTGAGAAGAGACTGAAGTTGGGGTGAGGAAGGGGCTGCCCAGCAATAGGGGTGACAGCAAGTAAGCTCGCTACAGGTGCCATCCTTTATTTTTCACTGGGTTTCCTCATCACCACTGGGCCAGTTTCTCAACTCCTCCTTCCAGGTTTGCTTTGGCTTTTTTTTTTTTTTGTTTGTTTGTTTGTTTTGATTTTGGTTGGGGGAGTGGGTGACTGTGAGAATCACTCCCTTTCTGGAGGCCCAGCAGCGACTGTTCGGACTGTAGTCCAGCCAGGCGGCAGTGTGGAGGGGAACCATAGGAGGTCCTTTGCTTGCTGACCCACTTCCATGCCAGCCCCACCCACCCGCCTGCCTGTGGGCCTCTCTTGGGTGAACTGTTCTCAACCTGGAACCTTTTCTCCACAAGGGCACCCTGCCAGCTCGCCAGTGCTCAGCATGCCCCCAGTGGAGCTGAGCTACTGAGGGTAAGTCAAACATGACACAAAGGCTTCCAGCCCTGGCCCAGCCAATGACTCCTGTGGGGACTTCTGTGGCATGAGGAGGCTGGGTTAAAGGCCTCGAAGTTTGTTCTCAGCTGGACTGAGGTTCAAATCTATTATAATAGCACTGGGGACCCTAAGCATGTCCAAAAGCAGTTTCCTCACAGTTGGAACGCGAGCAGAGGGCGGGGAAGAGGGAGATGCTCTAGGCCTTGAATCAGGTCATGTGGGAGCTGAGCAGAGTATGGTAAGGTCCCACTTCAGAAGGCCTAGAAGCCTTTGATGAAAAACTTCTGACCCATGAAAATCTGAATTTACAAAGAGCCCTAAATCCCTAAGGAAGGGGTCTTCCTCCTGGTGCAATAGCTACAGAAAGCACCTTTAGTGATTTTAAAAGACTCAACAATAGACTCAACAATCTGGCCCCGCCCTACCCACTCAGGCACCTGCAGCATTTCCCTGGAATCTTAGAAAGAGGTTGGCTGGTTGGACTCCACAGGATGTCACCTTTACACCCTGGGGGTCCAACTGAAACCCTGGGGTAGGGGGTCAGTGGGTAGGGAAGCAGGGTTTCATCTTGTTGAGTCATGAAGAGTCCCCTTAATCTCTGGGGGGGGGGGATATTGAACTGACAAGAACTGAAAACCTCTTGAAATCTCTCCAGCCACACTTGGATCTAGTTCCAATTTCCTGTCTGTGTTTTCCCCCCACCTCTCCAGGCAGCCGAGCAGCTCACAGGATTCTGAGAGAGGTTCCCTGGGTGGATGGGCTTGGCCTGGTGCTGGGCTTCACGGGTGGCTGATGTAGGGGCAAGCAGACTAGATGGACTGGGGCAGATAAGGCTGGTCGAATCACCTTTGAGACCAGGAGAGGTGAGGGATATGGCAGAAGGCTCACTGCCAAGTCAATGAGAGAACCCAAAGCCACTGCTTCGGTCCTTCCTTCCAACCCCACCCCGCTTCACCCCATGTCCCTTCTCTTATTTCTTAGTAGGTATTCAAGATATGCACATAGATTTGAATTAGGCCTTTCTGTGGAAGTAGGAACAAGCTAGGCCACAGCCTGTGCTCAGGCCTGTGTGAGAGACAGGTGCTGAGGAGAAAGCCGGGCTGTGAGGAGCCTCCCAACCCAGGCTCATTGGGAAGACTTGGAGGAAGTTTGGGGAGTTTGGACCTGAAGAAAACACACACAGTTGGAGTGATATGTGTATTGGGGGGGGGGCAGGAGCAGGGGCCCATGGCAACCATCTTCTGACTCACTCAGTGATGTCATAATCATGCTCCATGGAGTTCAGTGAGAAGGACAGCGACTATAGGCTTGAGCTTCAGGCCCAGTGCCTCAGCCAGATGGAGAGAGAAGCTTCTCCAGGATTGGAGATGGAAGCCTCGATTCCTTCCGCAAAAGAGCGCAAACCTTTCATCATACGAAGTACGTACACAGACACAGGAGGCGGTGGGCAGGGTTACAGTGGCTAGTGAGGAAACGGGTCTTGGGGGTGGTGTCAGCTCACTTGTTGAGAGTGCTCCTTTGGCCACAGATGCTGGCAAGCAGTGCCTGGTGGCCTCTGAGGCTCCCCCCTTGTTGTCCCCATCTTGGTGCCTGCCAACTGCTAAGTGCTGCAGCCAGTGTGACTGGGACACCAGGTAGTAGCAGGACTGGGAGGTTTTTGTCCCACCTGAGACCCCAGCTGACATCTGTGGCCTAGAAATGCCTAACAACATTGAGAGGCAAGGGTAGTCTGGTGGAGGGGAGGTGCTAGTCAGTTCACACGTGGGGACCCTACTGCCATCTGGGACAGAGGAGCAGGGGGCAGGCTGAGCAGGTCAGGCCCTGAGGACCAAGTTGAAGGCGTTGGAGCCATTGGCCTAAACGGGAGACCTGCCAGAGCCCGAAATCCCTGAAAGGTAAGGAATTGGGCTATGTGTAAGGCTCAGAGGTTGGCTGAGATGGAAGAGACAGCCCTGAAGGGAGGGGGAAGGCCCCTGTGACTGGTGGTAAGCAGAAGGTAAGCAAGCGCCCGGCTAAGTAAATGGGACAGGGCATTCTTCCTGAGTCTGTAAATTGGGGGCCTTGGAGGGCGACTTGATACCATCGGCTGTTGTGGGCGGTGGAGGCCTGGCAGGGTCAGCTGCAGGGGCTCAGGTGTGCCCAGGAGGCTCCGAGGAGTTGTGGAAATTGGGGTGGGGTGGGTGTGGGGAGGCGGGTGCCATAGGGGCTATGTCTGCTGCACACCTCAAACTCAGCAAGAAGCACCAGTTTCTGGAAACAGCATTTGCAAAAGTCCTCTTCTCTGCTGGGTGTGTAGAAGGGGATCGGGACTAGTTGCGGTCTTGTCTTTCACGGTGTGTTGGGAAGGGAAACTGCTACAGAAAAATGACTTCTCTTCCATAATTTTCTCCAAATTTCAACCCTTAAAACAGGCTCCCTGTCCTCACAGTTCCTTTTCCTACCATTGTTTCCAGCAGGCTCCCGGTACTCAGAGAGGGACGGCCCCCCTATTTCCCAGTAGGGCTGACAGCAGCAGTGGTGCGTTCTTTCCTGGGAAACCCGTCCCATGGGATGCCAGCACCTCCTAGCAAATTCCAGTGAAGACTCCCAGTCAAGGGTCAACCAAAGCCCCCACCCATTTCCATAAACCCCTCAGAGGTGACCCTGCCCCCTTCGGGGCACTTGGAAAACGATTACCAAATCCCCCCTTAAGCCGCCCCCGCCCCCATCACTGGCTGTAGGCTGTGGGCAGCCGGTGGCGAAGTGAAAGGCCAAAGCACATTCGTTCATTCATTCCAAGAAGTTTTATTTTTCACTGGGGCGAGTGTCGGGAGCAGAGGGAAGGCGGGCCTGAACGGAGGCAGAGACTAGGGCACTCTCTGTCCACAAAACTACAAGTGCTCAAGATTCTTTGGCTTCTGCCAAAGTCCGTTTTCCTCCCGTCGCTCACCTAGCTCGCCAGTCCCGCCCCTGCGGGCCGCAGACCTGCGGGCCATTAGTGGGGAGAGCCTAGTCGAGCGCGATCCAGGAGCGCAGGCGGTCCCTGGTCCCTTTCCGGCAGGGCAGCGAGGTCCCAGGGCCGAAAGCCCGGTCTGTCCAAGCGAGCAGCCGCCTTCGGCCAGGCATCCGGCAGCGAGCGGCGTGCAGCCCCTGCCGCCGGGCCGCGGCGGAGCCGGGTGAAAGTGGAGGGGGACCGTCGGCCCTCGCCGGGCCGCCGAGGGAGGTTCCCCGCGGCCGGGGCGCTGCCCAGGGGCCGGGGGCGCCCGGGCCGCCGCGCGGCGGGAGCAGAACGCGGCGGAGGCCGAGGCCGCTGGGCCCTCGCGGCTCCGTCCTTGGGCATCCCGGGCCGGCCCGCGGGGGACGCGGAGGGGCGCGCGGGCGGGGAGAGGAGACGCTCCGCACCGCGGTCCCGGGGCTGGGCCGCGGCCGCCAGCGCCGGCGGGTCGTTCTGTTTGAATGAATGAGCCCAGCGGCCGCGCCCAATGGGCGCCCGCGCCTGCTGCATATGCATGAGGCCCGCGGCCAATGGCCGGGCGAGGAGGCTGTTTTAAACGGCGGAGCCCGCTGGCCAATCAGGCGGCTCTCGTGGAGGCAGCTAGCGCGAGGCTGGGAGCGCCGAGCCGCGCGTCGTGCCCTGCGCTGCCCAGACTCGCGAACAATACAGGTACGTCTCGCTGCGCCCGCGCCGCCGCCGCCGCCGCCGCACAACTTTCCGGCCCGCGCCGCCGCGAGCGCGCCCCGCCGCCGCCCCGGCCTCGCCGCCCGCGCCCCGCCGAGGCGGCCGGGCGGGACGCGCCCGTTCAGGTGTTGCAACTTTTCCGCGGCGGGCGCCCCGCGGCCCCGCGCCCGGCCGGCCCCGCGGAGGCGCCCTCGGACGCCGCCCCCGGAGCCCCGAGGCCAGAGGCGCGGCGCGGGCGCGGGGGGCCGGGCTCGCCCCGGCCCGGCGCGGACTCCGCGGGTGGCGGGTGGCCGGGGCCCGCCCGGGGCGGCGGCGGCGCGGGCAAACTTCGCTCCCGGCTCGGCCCGCGGCCGCCCCGCCGCCGCTGCGGGAACATGGCCGTCGCGGGAGCGCCCGGGGCTGGGGGGGCGCGGGCCGGCCGCCCCCCGTCGCCGCCCGTCCCCCCTCCCCTCCGCGGGCACCGCCGCCGCCGCGGGAGCGCGGGGACGCGAGCCGGGCTCCGGAGGCCCACAGAGGCGGGCGGGGCGCGCGGCGGGGGCGCCCGGGGGCTTCGGCTCCGGCGCCCGCGCCCCGGGGCCGGCGGCACGGAGGGCCGGGGGCGCCGCCGCGGGCCCCGGCGCGGCCGAGCGTTATGGCTGCACGGGCGCCTTTGTTATCCCGAGGAGGGCGCCCCGCGCCCCCGGGCGGGGGGGCCCCCGGCCTGCGCCCCCCGCCGCCCCGCGCCCCCGGGTGGGGCGGGGCGGGGTGGGGGCCGGCGAGCGACGGCGGCTGCGACGGGGCCAGGACCGCTTTGTTCGCCGCCGCCCGCGCCGGCCGCGCGCGGATCAGCCATTTTAGCGAGCGGGGCTCGGAGGCTCGGCGGGCGCAGCCGCCACCGCCGCCGCAGCCGCCGGGGCTCCGCGCCCCCCGCGCGCGGCGGCCGCGGCCGCCCCCGGCCCCGCGCGCCCCCCGGGGTGGCAGCGGCGGATTTCAGGGGCACTTTCTTTCATCAGGAAGCTCTTGACAAAATGGAAGGTGAATTATGGGTGTCCGGTGACCCAGCACCGGGCCGAGCCCGGCCGCCCGGGGCGCCCCTGCGCCGCGGCCCGCCCCTCCCGCGCCGCCACGGTGGGGCCTGCCCGCAGCCCCGCGGTCGGTCCCCGCCGAAGGGAGCGCTTCATTCTTACGTGATGACCTTGGGTGTGGGAAAAGGAAAAGATGGCGGGAAGCTGGGGGGTGGGCCGGGGCCGATGGCGCGCCGAGGCTGCGTTTTATTTGGAAACTTCCGAGAAAGTATTTCTGGCAGGACGCGCATTCCGCTTCACGGATGAGCCGGGCCAGCCCCGTGGTCTCCCGGGCCCTTTTAGATCCTGGCGAAGTGACAGATTGCGGCGAGTGCGGCGGGAGGGCCCGCTGGCTGCTCACTCGCCAGCTCGCCCTTCTCGCAAAAGCCATTTTATCAGGCAGATCCTCCAACAATAGCGAAATGTGCGCTCTTGCCTGTTCACGGCGAGGCTTGGCTCGCGGGTGGCCGCAGCGGTCCCGCTGTTTTGTTTGGAATGTGCTTAAGCAGATGACCTGCCAGCCCGCGGGCTAGTTGGCCTCGAGCTCCTGCCCTCCGCCCGCACGCCTGCAGAGCTGTCCTCCCGCGCCCTTCCCACGTTCGCTGCTGGGTTCCCAAGCGCAGTAGTTTCCCGTCGGAGCAGCGCCGAGCCACCCCACTTGGGGCTGTTCCATTTGGAGAACTTGCTGGCTCCCGGGAGAAGTAACTTGCAAACCGGCGCGCTTCATGCTGGTCAAAAGTTACATGACAAGTGCCAGAGAGGCGGCTTCCCCCACCCTGTCACTCTCCTTTGGCGGCCAGCGGGCAGCGGGTGCTGGCGAGGGCGGCCTGCACTTGCCCCGCTGCCCTGCCTTGGCTGTGTGCTGTGGTCGTGTTCTGCTCACGGCATCTGTTTCTCTTTGTCTCTCCCCCACCCATCACAGTCAAGATGGCTAAGGGTGATCCCAAGAAACCGAAGGGCAAGATGTCTGCTTACGCCTTCTTCGTGCAGACCTGCCGTGAGGAGCACAAGAAGAAAAACCCGGAGGTCCCTGTCAATTTTGCAGAGTTTTCCAAGAAGTGCTCAGAGAGGTGGAAGGTACTTCTCTTTGGTCACCCTTGAGCCACCTGAGGTGGATTTCATGCCACGTGGGCTTCCCTCCCCTGGAGCCCAGGTGGCGCTTTTCCTCCCCTGACGCTCACCTCACTTTTCTTTAGAGTTTTCGGTGCGTCCTTTTATTTTTTTTTTTAAAGATTGATTTATTTATGCCTACAAGAGCTGGGGTACAGGCCAGAGATGCGGGGGGTGAGAGGATTCACCAGAGACAGAGTGGGGAGCAGAACAGGCTGACTGACTGAAACACACTGCTGAGGGGAGCAGTAGGGAGACGAGAGGTCTGCTGCGCCATGTGGGTACCTCCCTGGTGGGCCGGGCATCAAACTCATGCATGCTGCAGAGGCTGCGCGTAGCCTCATAGTGCTGTGCTTAACTTAACCCTTGCGCCGCCAGGGAGGCCTTTGATTTGTTTTTAAGATTCCTCATGAGGTTCAGGCCTTCAGCCCCTTCTGCTTAAGCAGCTGCCATGGAAGCCCCAGGGTGAGGGGCAGGTGTGTGCTTGCCGCCCCAAGGAGTTAAACGGGCCCTGTTCTTTGCAGACAATGTCTGGGAAGGAGAAGTCTAAATTTGATGAAATGGCAAAGGCAGATAAAGTACGCTACGATCGGGAAATGAAGGACTATGGACCAGCTAAGGGAGGCAAGAAGAAGAAGGACCCCAATGCCCCCAAACGGCCACCGTAAGTGACTCAAGGACTCCGGATAGCTGGTCTTCCGGCCATGCCTTCTGCAGGAAGGGTTTCTTAAGGCACAGTCCATCAAAACACCCAGGTGCCTTTGCAAACCATTCTGTAAAACTTTGAGCTTTGCAACACAGCGTGGGGTCGGGGGGCTCAGGTGGCTCCAGGTGTGGGAGCCGCCCCTTGCCCACTAACTGAGGGACGAGAACGCCCCATGTGTTGTCCAAAGAACCGGAACAATTTACAACCTTGAAGGTTGTCAGGTGCTGGCATCACACACTTCTTCCCCGTAGGGAGGGTCCTCACTGGCGGGCGGGGAAGGGGCCCTGGGGTTGCGCTCATGCACTTGGGGGTGCTCTTCTAATTTATGCACTTCTCTCCCCAGGTCTGGATTCTTCCTGTTCTGTTCAGAATTCCGCCCTAAGATCAAATCCACGAACCCCGGCATCTCCATTGGCGACGTGGCGAAGAAGCTGGGCGAGATGTGGAATAACCTAAGCGACAGTGAGAAGCAGCCTTACAACAACAAGGCGGCGAAGCTCAAGGAGAAGTACGAGAAGGTGAGCTGGGCCGAGCGGGTCTGGCTGGCGTGGCCTGGTCGCCCCGCCCCTGCAGCGGCTCCAGTGTGGGTGGGTGTGCGTGGGTGCTGGCATCTGACTACCGGGTCATCCCCCACGCACGCGAGGCAAGTGCTCCACGCCACATCGGCCTCCCGTGCTGGTGTGTGGGATTTGGGTGGATTTTTAGATTGGGGACGACTTCAGGCGAGTTGGGGTGACATGGGCAGAGGATTATGAGAGCACTGGTAACAAGGCCTGAAGGGCACCTTACACACCCACAACTTTGACTCCTGAGTGGCCGGCAGCCCGCTGCGCTCCCTGGAAGCACATGTTTTGGGCTACAGCTGCAGCCCCGAGTGGTCAGTGTTCTGCCGAGGCGGGCAGCAGCTGCAGGGGAGCTCGTCTCCTTATCTGGACTGTGTCCCTGTTCTTCCAGGATGTCGCCGACTATAAGTCGAAAGGGAAGTTTGATGGCGCCAAGGGTCCTGCCAAGGTTGCCAGGAAAAAGGTGGAAGAGGAAGACGAAGACGAGGAGGAGGATGAGGAAGAGGAGGAGGAGGAGGAGGAGGAGGAGGAGGATGAATAAAAAAAACTGTTTCTCTGTCTCCTTGTGAATACCTTAGAGTAGGGGCCGTCATCGACACCTCTCCCATCTGAGCCGCGTCTGTTGCCCTCATTAGGTCGAATCTCACACTCGGATCATGATCATGTCGTAGTCTCTCAGTGTGCTCTAGGAGTTGTCAGTGGTTTACATGGAGTGGCCCAGGGGTGTCCGGAGCACCCTGAAACTGTATCAAAGTTGTACATATTTCCCTGCATTTTTAAACGGAGGCTCTCGTTCTCGCTCTGCGCACTTTGCTGTCGGTGTGACAAGGCATTGGGAGATGTTTGCCGCATTCTCTTTAATCTGTAAGGTGGTGTGGACTGTATGGTTACTGGCTAGGAATCCTGAGTTACCGACTGTACATATCTCTAGTTTGTAAAAAGAACAAAACAACCAAGACAAACTCGATGCTCTTGCTTGGTGGCGAGGCTGTGGGGAAGGTGCCTTTGTGGAGGGGCCGTCGCTCAGGGTGCGCCCTGGGAGGCTGGACCTGCGGCCACTGCAGCGGGCATCCGCGTAGCTTCAGGTTGTCTTGACTTTGTATATAGTGACGTAGCGTTCTGCTGCCGCTCTTAGCTGTGGAAAAGGGGTCAGCTGGCATGAGAAGTGTTTGGGTTTCTTTAGTTCAGTGCTGTAGTTTTAAACTGTTTTTTAACAAACAGTAGAACTTCGTTGCCGGCGAGGCAAAGAGACTGCATCAATGAAAGTTCAAGAACCTGTACTAAAACGATTTCCAACGTTTTATTTTTTCTTTGTATGTTTAGAATGCTGCAATGTTTCTGAAGTAAATAAACAGTATTACGTTTTCTAAACGGTTCTCTGTTCTAACAGTCTGAGTGTCAAATGGTAATTGGCGATGGGCCTCCCTGGACATGGGCTGACTCCTCTCGCGTGGCCGGCTTTTTTAGGATGGAGACGAAGAGGCTGCTGGGAGCTCCTGCGGGGTTTTGTTGAGTGGCATTGAGATGAAGACAGCGTGGAAGGTAGGCGCTGAGGTGTCACGACAGGCAGGCTGAGTGGCCTCGGAGGTGTGGGGGGTGCGCGGAGGGCTGGCGCTGGCTCCGGTGGCGGGGGTTTTCTCTCGCCTCCCTGCGCTCACGGCCAAATGCGTTGCTGGGCAGCAGGTCAGTCCACCAGAGGGTGATGTGGCAGAACATTCAGCCTTCATTTTTCTTCTTGTACCCCCAGTACCCTCCCCCCAACTCTAGTTCCTGTATTGGAACATTGTTCAGCAATGGAGGTCTTGGGGGGGCTGCTTCTGTCCTGGACCCCAATCTGGCAGCGACCGTGGTGAGGAACAGTGGCCATTTTTTTTCCCGACTTCTGAGATCCAAACACCCCAAGGAAGACGCTGGGTCTCCTGTTAGTGGCTCAGTACCTGGTGGCACCTGAGCCGCAGGGCAGGCGGGTGGAAGCAATGGGCTCTACGCTCTGGCTGCATTCTCTGGGGAGTAGGCGGGCCCTCCAGGCACCACTGGAGCTCATTCCCCAGGACTGCAGATTGTTAAGTGTTCCAGAAACAGCAGGAGGGTGTTGGTGTGTCCATGGCTGCAGCATGTTGCGGATGGAGCAAGGTTTTGTCCAGGTCTGGGTGAGGGGTGTGGCCCCCTTGGCAAACAGTGAGCTCAAGTCCTGTGTAGAGGGCTTGTGTCCGTAGGGTGGATCTGCTGGCGGGAGCAGGGGTGCTGCTTGGGGCCGCCGGGGTTCCTGGCGTGAGTGCTCTTGTGTTTGACTAGGGAGCACCGGGGCCGTGTGTCTGGAGGTGTCGTGGCCAGCCTCACAGCCATTCCTTCTCACACCATGACTGGTTTCTCTTCCATGTGTATTTCTAGGTCTGCTCCTTTAAAAACCCGATCCCGAGGTTTGCCTGGAAGCACTTGTTCTAGGATGACCCTGCCTGATTTGGCCTTGGCCTGTCACTCTTCCAGACACCGCGTGGCGTTCTAGATGAAAGCAAGGCTTAAAGCTGCCTCCTGACCTGTCGTCCCAGGCTAAGATTTGGGAACGGGGGCTAAGCGTGTTGAATTTCAGGGCAGAGAAGCTCAACTTGTCACCAGGGAGACTGCGCTAAGCAGGCCCCTCTGGTGGAACTAGATGTGCCAACCGGAAGGGCAAAGACTAAAAGGGGTGTTTTCTGCTTACCCCCAGAGGAACCAAGCAAGTTGGGAAGCGGTTGAAAGTCTCTGTGACTAAGACATTTCATTCTAGAGGGGCGCATGTGGGAACACTGGGATTCTCGCCCCACAAGCTTGCTCCTTGCGGTGGGACGATGCGCCGTAGCTTCTGAGACGCTTCGAGTGGCTTGAGGTTACCACCTAAGATTTAGGCTTAGCTGGATTTCTGGGCCCAAGGTATATGTTCTTGTAATGCAAACCTGTTTGTGTGTGTGTGCGTGTGTGTGTGTGTGTGTGTTTTACATCAAAAGGACAGTACCTACTTTCTCAAATCACCTCTGTTCCAATCCCCACCCTCTGTTCTTGAATGATGTTTTCTCCTTTGGAAAGAACAAGGCTATGATGTAGCAACTATTGTCTGTGTCTCTTGTGTGTCTGTTCTTGTCACAAATGTATTTGGGGACATTGGATGCATTCATTTTCTGTAATAAAGTTTCTTAATCAGTCTTCCCAAAAAGTAATCAGTGGGCCGTCTGCAATCTGTTGGAGATACTGAATCTCTGTATTTTCGGTTGATTATAATCAAGGTTTCAGAAGTGCAAGCTTCCCTGTACCCATAGCTCTGAATGAATGGAAAGATGGCATCAGAAGGGGCAAGTGGTAAGGACTGCAAAGCCCCTTCATTCAGAGGTGGGAGGTTGGCTCCGCAGCCCTGTGCCAAATGTAGCGTTTACGTGACGCTAATGAGCTGCTGTTGATAAAGTGGCCAGGTACTTGTCCTCAGCCAGACCTGTGACTGAGGCTGCCCCAAGCTAAGGGTCCGGGCCTAGCTGGCTTACAGAGCCAGGCCTAGCAAGGATTTTTGGATGACACCCATGAGGGCCACAGCTGTTCTTGGTCTCCGCCTTAGTTTCCTGTGGAGCCAAGGGCTACTTGGCCGAGAGGCCAGTGGGCTAGGCTGCCTTCTTTCTCAACTAGAACAGCCCACACCCTCTTTTGTATCTAGCACCCTCCTAAGGTTTCAACTTAAGAAGCTGGGATACCATGTTGATAAAGGAAGAAAAAAAAAATCATCTCAAGAGATACATAACAGTATTTGATAAGATCCAGCACCTTTTCATGATAAAAACACTCAAAAAACTGGGAGTACAAGGAGACTTCCTCACCGTGATACAGGGCATGTAGGAAACCACAGCTGGGTCATACTCAGGGAAAGCCTTCCTCCCAAGTTCAGGGACAACACAGATGCCTGGCTGTGCCATGCCTACCTGCAGGTGACATGATCTTGTAGACAATTCCACGGAATTTCCAAATAAAACCACCAGAACAGATGAGTTCAGCAAAATTAAAGCTTGTGTTTCTGTGCATCTCAATGAGCACTGGAAGAGAAAACCGAACCATTCCATTTGCAACAATGTCACAAAGAATCAGGTCCTTAGGAATAGACTCAAATGCAAAGCTTATAGGGGAAAACCACAGAACGTTTTGGGAAACATTAAAGAACCACAGAAAGAGGAAGCTGCCCTGTGTTCATGGGTTGGAGACAATATTGCCCAGCGGGCGGCACTTCCACAATTCACCTGGAGATTCAATGGCATCCCTAGCAGCGCCTCAGCTGGCTCCCATGCAGACGGTAGGCGCACCTGAATTCCATCTGGAAATTGGAGGGACCCAGAATAGCCACAACAATTTTGAAAAAAAAAAAAGTTGAAGGACCAGACTTCTCGATTTCAAAACTTCCTACGAAGCTGCAGTATTCAAGACTGGCACGAAGACGTGTAGCTGATGGCATGAAATTGAAAGTCGAGAAATAAACCCGTCCATGGATGGCCGGCTGATTTATCACAAGGCCGCCAATACCACTCACTCCTGTATCTGATAACAGTGTTGAAAATAAAGAGGTATTGTAACTTGATAGCAAAAAGATGTAAAAAAAATGGGCAAAATATCTGAATGAGACACTTCTCCGAGTAAGATGGACAAATGGCCAGTAGGCGCGCGAAGAGGCCCTGGCCATCGGTTGCAAACAGCCATCATGAGAGGCCGCCTCACTCCCACGAGCTCTGCCGTAATGATGATGTCAAAAGGTGAAGATGTGCAGAAATTGGAACCCTCATGCTTTCCTGGTGGGTGTGTAAAATGGGGCAGCTTCTGTGGAAAACACTTTGGTCCCTCAAACAGGCTGGAACCCAGCAATTCCACTCCTGTGTATACACCCAAGAATTGAAAACAGGTATTTAAACACAACCTTGAATGTTCCTAGCATTGTGAATGAAAGAGTTGAAAAGTGAAAGCGACCAAACGTCCATCAAGTAGTGAGTGGAGGACCCACATGAGTCAGGGGAAAGGCAACGACCAGCTGGTGTCACTCATTTGTGGAAAATAAACCAAGAAAACAAACTTGCAAAACACAGCACAAGTAACTCTTAGACTCTGTGGACGATGTGGTGGTGGTGAGCGGAGTGGGAGGGGCTCCACATGACTCAGGGCGCGAGAGCCAAAGGGAGACGCACAGAGGTGGGAAGCGGTGCTCCCCAAGTGAGAGAGTTTCATTGCTGAATGGCAGGGGCAGCTTTGTTGGCCATCTCAAGAATTTTGAACTTCCCTAAGTTCAGTGCTGACCATATAAGAATATTCTCTTGCCAGTGTTCAGGGGCAGTAGGTGGCGACAGGATCTCTACTGGAGTCGAACTGCTCTTTGGAAGGGCAAGTAAGTTTAGGACCGTCCTTCTGCTGTGAAGAGCACCCCTTGGTTGTAATTTTATTTATTTTTATTTTTTATTTTATTTTATTTTTTTAAAGATTTATCTCTTTACACAAGCACTGGGTACAGTCAGAAGCGCAGGAGGGTGAGAGAATTCACCAGAGCCAGAGTGGGGAGCAGAGCAGGCAGAAGGACCGAGGTCCACTGCTGAGGGGAGCAGCGGGCGGCAGGAGAGGTCTGTGCGCGCCATGTGGGACCCTTGCCCGGTGGCCGGGGAGCAGCCGGGGATCGAACCGGCGCCGCAGAGGCTGCGGGCAGCTTCACAACCCAGCGCTCAACCGCTGCGCCACCGGGGAGGCCCGGCTGTAATTTTATTGTGACAACACAGTGACGCTTGCTCTCCCTGAGCGCAAGGTCCAACAGCCATCTGGCAGGCTGGCTTCCATATTGGGTCTCAGGGATCTTGGCTCCTTCCATTTTGTGCTGCCACCATCTTCAATTAATGACCTCATGCCAAGGCAGAATAAGCTGTAGGCTGAGGCCCGAGAGCAGCATTATACATCACACCACATCACACCAAGAGCAGCTGGGTTCAGAGAGACTTAGGATCGCTGGGACCTGGGGGGGACTGCATGTGAGGATGAGGAAGGGGGAGGATGGAGGACTCTGTTTTCTCACCTAAGGCACGGAAGTGCTGGCGGAGTCTTTGAAAAAGACAGAGCCCTGGAGGAGAAGTTGGTCGGACAGGGAATCATGTCAAGGCTTAGCAGTGTTCAAGAATGGTAACAGTACCAAGTTTACATACACCCACGAGGGAAAATGGAAAATTTGTAACCAGGACTCGCAGACCTGCCCTCAGCCGGAGTTTTTCCATCTACAGGACTAGTCTGGAGTTTGTGGTGTTTTTTTGTTTTGTTTTGTTTTGTTTTGTTTTTGTCGTCCATCTCCTTCCAGGGAAATCTTGACTCTGACACCTGGGAGCATCTGACTGCTCTGGTCTGATGTTAACCAGAGTGTCACCACTAGCAGTTTCCCTGGAGGGAAAATGAAATCCCCTGGGCTATGAGAGGGCTTCCCCTTTTCCACTCAAGTCTGTTTCCAAACCACAAGCCTTGGAGGAAAAGCTCAAAGAAACTTCCTCACGGTTGGCCTGAGGCCGCGGTCCGTTGTTGAGTGCAAGTGGGAAAAAGGAGATGTGTGTTTCCTGGGCTCTGTATTTCGTTCCGGGGCCTGTGCTGGGCCTGCGTTTTAAGGCTTCTGGAAGCATGCCAGAGGTGTGACACTGGGGCAATGCACAGGGTGTGGGATTCTTGTGTCCTCTGGCCAAACCCCTGCTCATCGCGTGTAAAGGGGTTGATATTTCAGTGATGAAACAGCAGAAGGCTGTGCTTTTAACTTCTCCATCAAGAAACTCTCTTCTGCATATATATATAATGTCCCAAACCAAAGCCACCGGTGGAGGAGTGTAGTCCCCAATGTTCCTACCTTGATTTACACACCACAGATTCTCTGACAGCTAAGGGGCCACATGGCAGGGTGGAAGGACTCTCGGTACTTGCCTGGAACCTGGCGAGCAGAAAGGGTGCACCTACCATTTCCCCTTCCTGCTGCTGTGCGGCCTCGTCCCCGCCCCAGGCACAGGGAGACCTGGCTTCTGAGACTTCTGTGACTTCTCCAAGCTTGCGCAGATGGCCAGTGGCGACTTGGATGGGCTGGCCCACCCTGGCCCTGACAACACGCACAAGTGCGGAGCATGTGGCTGGAGGCCAACGCTGCTGCCAAGTGCACTCCAGCGTGACCCTGCTCTTGAGCTGTCCAGAGAGTCTGCTGAGCTACGCAAACAGGCAGTTAACATACTGGAGTGACTGTGCTGATAGCAGCCGGCAGAGGGCCCCGAGGGAGTCAAGAGGAGGAGTACACCCTGCTCAAGAAGGAAGCCTTCCTGGAGGAGGAGATGCCGAGTTACGTGTTAAAGGCAAAATGCAATAAAATAATTTTTAGACTCTAAAAACTACACTGGTTACCAGAGGGTATGGGGCAGGCAGGAGTCGAGAGGGGAGGGAGTGGGTAGGAGAGGGACTGGAGCTCTGGTGGAGGGCAAGTGAAGCAGGGGCACATATGGAGAGGTGAAGCTGTGCCCCCAAGCCATATAGTCATGTGATTGATTGACCGATTACTGAGACTAGAGAAATAACAGGTAAAGGAGGTAGCCACTACATGGAGGGGCCGGGAAGGGGGGGGCACACGCACAAGTAGAGAGGAGAGCAGCACTTTCCCTTTGCATTCAATATTTATCGCTGCAGAATGAATCACCCCAAACTCTAGTGGCTGAAAATACAATGACATCTATTATGTCAGCTCTTTGGGTCTCAGAAATGCAGACCGCTGGGCTTGAGGTCTCGACCAGGGTTGCCGTCGTCTCTGGCCTTGTCTGAGGGAGGACTGCTTCCAGCTCCCCCGCGTGGGTCTAGGGGGTGTTCAGCTTCTCCCTGTCTGCTGCTTGGAAGTGGCCCTCACGTCCTCATCACATGGGCCTCCCCATAGCACAGCTCACCACATGGCGGCTTGATTCAGTCAGCGAGAGCAAGTGAGGAAAGCCAGACAGTGTGAGCAAGAAGGAGGTCACAGTCTCTTTACAACCTAATCTCAGAAGCAAAACGCCCTCACCCGGAGTGGCTACTACTCATGAGAAACAAGCTCCTAGGAGCGCATCCTCGCTCAAGGAGAGGCGCTTACACAAGGGCACGAATACCAGGAGGGACAGCACTGGAACTACGTCAGGAACTCATAATCCTTTACGGTTTATTTTTCCACATGCAATTACACCGTAAAGACAGATGCTTATTGTTTGTGTTGCTTCAGCTTACACACTTTGCTGTATTGCACTTGTGTGTGCATATGCTATAGATTATTGATTTTCTCCCATTGATGGATGA